GGGGAATTGGTTTGACGGGAACCAAGTTGGGATGTGCGGAAGGAGGGTGTGGTGCTTGTACTGTGGTATGTTTGACACAGAATTCCGAAACAGCAAAACGATCAGTTTTGGAGACTGACAAACTTGTTAGGTTGTATCGCAGCTCAATCCTACAACGAACAAGATATACCACGCCTCAGTAAATGCATGCCTTGCACCACTCGTCAGCGTAGACGGCAAACACGTTATAACTGTGGAGGGAATTGGGAACGTAAAGCGACCACATCCAGCACAAGAGAGGATAGCAGAGGGCAATGGCAGTCAGTGCGGGTTCTGCACACCAGGCATCGTCATGTCTCTATATGCTCTCCTTCGCAACAACGTTGGACCGAGCGAACTCGAGGTTGAGGAGGCGTTCGATGGCAACCTCTGTCGGTGTACTGGATATAGGCCGATATTGGACGCGGCACAGAGCTTCAGTGTGAAGTCGGGCTGCGCAAAAGCAAAGGCCAACGGTGGAGGGGGATGCTGTATGGACAAGGACGGTGCGAACGGCGGAGGCTGCGGCGGCGGTAAGAGCCTTGACGAGGATCAACCAATCAAGCGATTCACACCACCTGGGTTCATCGAGTACAAGCCAGACACAGAGTTGATATTCCCTCCACAGCTACGGAAACACGAGTTCAAGCCGTTAGCATTCGGCAACAAGAAGAAGAGGTGGTACAGGCCGACGACATTGCAGCAATTACTGGAGATCAAGGATGCATATCCGTCAGCGAAGCTCATTGGTGGCTCGACCGAGACACAAATTGAGATCAAGTTCAAAGGCATGAACTACAATGCCTCAGTGTTCGTTGGCGATATTGCGGAACTACGGCAATTCAAGCTCCATGATGATCATCTAGAGATTGGCGGAAACGTCGTTCTCACTGATTTGGAGGAGATATGCAAAGACGCTCTTGAGCATTATGGACCGATACGAGGCCAGCCATTTGCAACTATCCTCAAGCAAATACGATATTTCGCGGGGCGCCAGATTAGGAATGTGGGTACACCAGCTGGTAACCTCGCAACAGCAAGCCCTATCTCGGATCTGAATCCTGTGTTTGTTGCTACCAACGCGACGCTCATAGCGAAGAGCCTCAAGGAGACGACTGAGATCCCCATGTCGACGTTCTTCAAGGGATACAGGCAGACTGCTCTGCCTCCAGATGCCATCATCGCCGGTTTGAAGATCCCCGTTGCGAAAGAAAAGGGCGAATACATTCGTGCGTACAAGCAGGCAAAGAGGAAAGACGACGACATTGCAATTGTGAATGCTGCTTTAAGGATATCACTGGACAATGAGCATACAGTCGAGAGTGTGGATCTCGTGTACGGCGGCATGGCACCCATTACGATCCATGCGAAGAAAGCAGGGGAGTTTCTTCAAGGCAAGAAGTTCTCCGAGCTGTCGACGCTCGAGGGCGTCATGGACAAGCTTGAAGAAGATTTTGATCTGCGCTTTGGTGTCCCGGGTGGTATGGCGACATACAGGAAGTCACTCGCGCTCGGCTTCTTTTACAAGTTCTACCATGAGATTCTGGCCGAGCTGCACGCTGAGGAAGTCGAGGTCGACGCCCAGGCAATTGGCGAGATTGAAAGAGATATCAGCAAGGGCAAGAAGGATGACAAGGCTGCTGAGGCTTATATCCAGAATGAGGTCGGACAGTCGAAGAACCACGTCGCGGCTATGAAACAGTGTACTGGAGAAGCGCAGTATACGGACGATATACCACTACAGCGGAACGAACTATATGGTTGCTTGGTACTCTCGACAAAAGCGCATGCCAAGTTGCTCTCGGTCGATGCTGAACCAGCACTGGACCTACCTGGCGTTGTTGCGTACGTCGATCATAACGATCTGGCATCTCCGGAAGCCAACTGGTGGGGCGCGCCGTCTTGTGATGAGACATTCTTCGCTCTCGACGAGGTCTTTACTGCTGGCCAGCCGATCGGTATGGTTCTGGCTGATACAGCGAAACATGCAGAGCAAGCTGCGCGAGCTGTCAAAATTGAGTACGAAGACCTTCCGGCTATATTCACGATCGAAGAAGCCATTGAGAAGGAAAGCTACTTCAACCACTTCCGCTATATCCAGAAAGGAGACACGGAAAAGGCGTTCGCCGAGGCTGATCACGTCTTCACTGGTGTTGCGCGCATGGGCGGCCAAGAGCACTTCTACTTGGAGACTCAGGCATGTCTAGCAGTGCCAAAGCCTGAGGATGGCGAGATGGAAATTTTCAGCAGTACACAGAACCCAGCAGAGACGCAAGCATACGTATCCAAGGTCGTCGGTGTCGCTGCCAACAAGATTGTCACCCGTGTCAAGCGCATGGGCGGTGGCTTTGGTGGTAAGGAAACACGTTCAGTCCAGCTCGCTGGTATTGTGGCGTGTGCAGCGAACAAGGTTCGTCGGCCTGTGCGCTGCATGCTGAATCGAGACGAAGACATCATGACATCTGGACAACGACATCCCTTCCTCGCTCGCTGGAAGGTCGCTGTAAACAAAGACGGTAAGCTTCAAGCCCTTGATGCAGATGTCTTTTGCAACGGCGGTTGGAGCCAGGATCTTTCTGGTGCAGTCGTCGAGCGGTCTCTGTCCCACATTGACAACTGCTACTCAATACCCAACATCCACGTCCGCGGGCGTGTTGCGAAAACAAACACAGTCTCCAATACCGCATTCCGAGGCTTCGGTGGACCACAGGGTATGTTCATTGCCGAGACGTACATGGAAGAGATTGCGGACCATCTCAACATACCCGTGGAGAAGCTACGAGAGATCAATATGTACTCTCCCGAAACCAACATGACAACTCATTTCAACCAGGAGATCAAGGACTGGTACGTTCCCCTCATGTACAAACAGGTCCAAGAGGAATCAGCATACGTACAACGACGCAAGGATATCGAGGAATGGAACAAAACGCACAAGTGGAACAAACGTGGTCTCGCCATTATCCCCACAAAATTCGGCATCTCTTTCACCGCACTCTTCCTGAACCAAGCCGGTGCGCTTGTCCACATCTACCACGACGGCAGTATCCTCGTTGCCCACGGCGGAACAGAAATGGGCCAGGGCCTCCACACAAAGATGACGCAAATCGCCGCCGAGACCCTCGGCGTCCCCCTCTCCGACGTCTTCATCAGCGAAACAGCGACCAATACCGTGGCAAACAGCTCCTCAACCGCCGCCTCGGCCTCGTCCGATCTCAACGGCTACGCCATTCACAACGCGTGTTTGGAACTAAACGAGCGCCTTGCTCCTTTCAAGGAGAAGTTGGGCAAAGATGCTACGATGAAGGATCTGGCTCATGCTGCGTACTTTGCTCGTGTCAATTTGTCTGCGCAAGGATTCTACAAGACACCTGATATCGGATACGTCTGGGGCGAAAACACGGGCCAGATGTTCTTCTACTTTACGCAAGGTGTTGCGGCTGCCGAGGTGGAGATTGATACGCTAACTGGTGACTGGACGACACGGCGTGCGGATATCAAAATGGATGTGGGGAGGAGTATTAATCCTGCTATTGACTATGGTCAGATTGAGGGAGCGTTTGTGCAGGGTCAGGGACTGTTTACTACGGAGGAGTCGCTGTGGTTGAGGGGCACGGGTGGGGTTGCTACGAAGGGGCCGGGTAACTATAAGATTCCTGGTTTCAGGGATATTCCGCAGGAGTTTAATGTGAGCTTGTTGAAGGATGTGAATTGGGAGAATCTGAGGACTATTCAGAGGAGTAGGGGTGTTGGTAAGTTTTTTCTTCTTTTCATTATTCCTTTTTCTTCTTTCTTCTGCAATTGGCTAACTGATGTTATAGGCGAGCCACCACTCTTCATGGGAAGCGCTGTGTTCTTCGCTATTCGCGATGCGTTGAAAGCGGCGCGCGCACAATTTGGCGAAACATCGATTTTGCATCTTACTAGTCCGGCGACAGTCGAGCGCATCAGGGTCAGCTGTGCGGATCCGATTCTTAAGAGGGCGTGGGTGGAGCCCAAGGAAGGGGAGAAGAGTTTCTTTATCAGTATATAGTGAGGGCGTTTGATGGACCATTTATGAATGGTATGGATGGGTTACAACGTCAATGCAATGATTCTGAGTTATTGATTTGATGGACGTGCTGGTGGTAAGACGCAGGCACAACGCTCTCGAATTACACTATGTTGTATCTTGATTCTAAGTTGTGTTCGGATAAAACCCTTGTTACTTGTTCGTTATAGCTAAATATTGTTCTGTTTGGTAATATACATACTTGTTAGCTGCACAGGTGGGCCGATGGAGCCTTGCAGTGAGGGACGTTGGATAGTGTGCACCCCCGCTTTACGCGATGCCGGTTGAAGTAAGAGAGTATGCCGTGGCGCAGCCTGACACTGCATCGTTCAGCTCTTCAGGGAAGGCAGCTACTTCATATTCACCCACCAGCGGCGGCCAGAACAGATTTCACTATCGCTTTTTGTTGAGCTACAGCCTGATGGCGTCCATAGAAGCCGGCGAAGTCGAGCAGTCACCCCACTCGTGCCATTATTGTCAGGCAGTTACGATCAGCTTCAAGAGCAGTTTCAACAGGCAATTTTTCATTCTTGAAAACGGCACGCTAAACATCACTTATGGACGAGCTCGACATGCTGCAGCTAATGGATGCAAGCTATTCGAATACCTGATGCAAGGCGCCCCAGACGGTCATGAACACGAAAACCTCCAGTATTCATACTCTTACAAGCGCTTACCAGAAAAAACTGGTGTCATAAGCTTTCTATATCCCACAACCTCGCAAGACTTCGAGATCTACGCCGCGGATGAGGCAACATCGTTCATATTCCCTGCACCGCCCAATCTATCACCAGCATCTACAAGTGCGGCCGAAGACTGGCTAGAATTTTGCGTTCAAGAGCATGAGGAGTGCAAAAGAGTCGAGAATGACTTCGTCCCACCAAGGCTCCTTCGTGTAACATGTGCTCAAGACGAGGTGCACCTTGTAAGCATGGATATCACAAAGCCGGTACCGTATGCTGTTTTAAGCTACTGTTGGGGAGGCGATCAGCTCTCCAAGACAGTAAAGAGTAACGTCGGAATAGTCCCACGAGCGATAAAAGACCTACCGCAGACGATCCATGATGCCATTCTTGTGACTCGACAACTCAAGCTCGAATATCTCTGGGTTGATAGTATGTGTATCATACAAGACAGTGCAGAGGACAAAGATGCGCTCATCGGCCAGATGCACAGGATATTTGCGTGTGCAGAAGTCACTATCGCCGCCAGCAAAGCCTCGAGATGCACTGAAGGATTCCTCGCTCCTAGAACCAACGGACCACAATTTTACGTCGCCATTCAGGATCCCACAGAGACAAATAATGCCAGATCAGGCAGGGTTATACTTATACCCCCTTCAAAGCGACATGTTGAGCCACTCGTCACACGTGCATGGACACTTCAGGAGATCCTCCTTTCAAGACGCATCCTCTCCTACGGAAGCCGGCAATTGCGCTGGTACTGCGGCGGACATGAGCACCATGATGGCGGCCTTATGGATCGCGATTCCTCCAGTTGGGCATCCCTCCAAACCCGACGCTTTGAGACAACGAGTCTCCAATGGATAAATATCGTAAAGCAATACACATTGCGTGAACTGTCAGAGCCTTCGGACAAATTGATCGCCATTTCTGCTGTAGCTCAACGCCTCGCTAGTCTGACTGAGGGGAGATGGGGTCGATACTATGCCGGTGTTTGGACAGAGTGGTTCTTTCAACAATTGCTGTGGGCTATATCCGAAGGCGAGATTGCGAAACGACCAGTTCGGTACCGCGCACCTAGCTAGTCGTGGGCTGCTATCGATGGGAGGCTAGATTGGCCATCGAGCGAAGACTTGATAGATGCTGAGATCTTGTGCACACTTCTCGACGTGGAGATCCAGCCGTTGAGATCTGAACAGCCCTATGGCGCAGTAACTGCCGGAAGAATCAAGGTCTATGGAGAGGTCAAACAAGTCTTGTGGTCAGCCGATCGGAAAACGGTAAAAGATGATAAAACTCAGGCCGCCGTTACTAATGGCATAATGCAGACATTTCCAGATGTGCGAGAAAATAATGCACAGGACATGACTGTTCATGTGCTGAAGGTAGCGATGTGCTCATTTGTCCACGCTTGTATCATGCGCGAGCCACGTGGACTTGGGAAGCACGTTGAAGGTATATTGTTGGAGCATATTGGTAACGAAGTGTATCAACGCGTGGGTGCAATAGGCGTACGGGGCTTCGATGAGGACAAGATATCACTGCCCGGGTGGTTGGACCAGTCGTTATCTGAGAGCATAACAGTGGTGGTCCGAAGGATTTGTAATTAAGGAGATATACATTGTTTAGCTTATGAAAGTACGATGGAGCTAATTTCAGCTCCTGGGGTGTAGCTGTGACTGTCTCTCGATATGTGAATAGACTAAAGAACTTCTCGTTCCTCTAATTGTGGCTCAACCTAAGCTAGATCATAAAGGTAAATGAGCAGGTAGCTATGTATAACTAGTCGTTGCAAGCTCGACGATTTCGTACTTGCAAGTTCTCTTGTTGGCGAAAATATTTTTGTTGGCGTCGTTGGATAGTGTGGAAATTGTGGTTGACTTAGGCTCGTTGGCGATGCAACGGCACACGATACGAGAATTAAGTGTCGTCATTCGGTTTTTGCATGACTCTTTCCAGATACATCATTCCAGAAAAACATGACTGGGTGGTTGAAACATTGTCCTCACAAAGCCTTTCGGAAGTGACAATTGCCGAACGCAGCCGATACTAGATCGGAGATCTAAAAACACGCTACACCAGACAGTCCAGATGTACAATCTATTATGGTTTGATACGTAGAAGGTATGTGTGATTGTAAGAGTACTTTTGATCAGCAGGTTGCTCACATTTAGGTCAGAAAAACGTGTAAGGTGTCATAGAAGCTGTTGAATGAGAACGCCTGCAGTTTTCGAACAACATCCGCGCGCAGTGATTAATCTGTTCGCCATCGCACAAAGTCGACTCAACGCCAGTAAGGCAACATATGAGTAAGCCCACAAGCGTTTCAAAAGTCAGCCCTACGCAACCCTCACAGACCACCACCTCTCAAGTTGAACCCAATCCCAGTCCCACACGTCATCATCCACGTACCACAAGTCGGCGAACTCTGACGACATCCTCTCCCCGGGAAGTTCATCTGACGAGACGATGCAACGATCATGTCAGATGAACTCACCGCTCAAACTCCCGATGAGTAAATTGTTTGCTTGCCACTGAAACCCAACTCGACGATGGAGCTGATCAGTGAACAACAAGTAGTTTTGGTGCTACGCCCGTAAAATGTCGTTACGGCTGGAGAGTATAGGCTAGCTCAAGGCCACCAAATATTGGATCAAGGCGCTAGGAAGTGTCCATTCCTATAACGGTATGCCATGGCGTTTCACGGGATGCGCGTCATCATCTTCCCGTCCGGGTGGCATGGTGGAAACGCTGGAGTGGGGTTGGGCTTCACTGGTGTGCTATGTTATATAGGGTAAAGGAGGATATTCGAAAATGTAGGGATGCGATTGGGTAGTTAGGCCAGTATATCTTCCATTGATCAGCAGTTGAATGTGGAGATTGTAGCACCACCGAGGTACGCTCTTGCGATTGTGGTGGTTGTCAGTTGTCATTGCAGAAGCGTGCACTTGGACTCTAAGCAAGTCTGTCTGCCCAGGCAAATGAGACTACAAAGCGCGTAAATCTCGTCATTTGCCTTGATCTCATTTTGAGCAATGCAGCATGATCTGAGAATGAATGCGAGGAAAAAAAAGGCGTCTTATGAGATGACTCGGTAGCAATTCCATGCATCTTCACTGGTAGCAGAAGCGGCTCGACGATAAGGTCAAGATCTATAAAATCGTTTCATCATGGTTGATGTGATTTATTCGTGACTTCAACCATAGAAGGCGCGCTTCGGGAGGATGAAGATCAGGCTTGGCGATCTCAACAAGCTAGTTGGCAGAAGTGATGACGCTCACTGTCGTGAGGTGGTGCAGGAAACCTCCCAGTCGTTGGTGCGATAACAAAAGTCCTAGGATGGAGGTGAAACTTCACAAGCAGCAGTATGATGCTTGAAGAGAACTAAATTGCATGGAACGATGCGAGGCTGCAAAGCAAGAGCGCACGCGAGCTATGATACAATGGGGGATCGATCTATGACGCCGTGGTCCGCTCACTACTCACGATGGTAGGTCCATCTACTTTCCTGGGCCATGCTCCAGCACCCTTGGGAGGAGAGTTGCGATCAGATCCACGATCAGATCCCTGACCGCGACCGCCTCTTCCCCGCCATGATGTGCCTCCACGTCCACCACCACCACCACCACCACCACCTCCTCCTCCTCCTCGTTTTGACCTTCCATCTTGGCCCCCACCACGCCCCCGACCAACTTGAAATTGTATCCTAGTGAGCGGCTGTTCGACCCATTCTACGCCCTTTAGACCCAGATTTTGCTTCTCCCAGTCGCTGAGCTTCCAGGCTTGATAAAGGCCCATCAATCGCTGTTGGTCCACTTCTTCCTTACCAGGGCCGACAGTCCGTGTCAATTTGATACCTCGTAGCTCTGGTACCCATGACTTGATGTATTCGCCATGCTTGTCGTAGTCAAGTGCTTGTTTGATGGGATTAAAGACGCGGCCCTGCCGCGGATCGTTGCCGACACCAGCGACGTATTGCCAATTGCCCCAATTGCTGGCTGGATCGTAGTCCACAAGGAAGCATTCGTACCACTCTGCTCCAATTCTCCAGTCGATGTTCAGATGAGACGAGAGGAAAGAGGCAACGTTTTGCCTTGCGCGGTTCGATGTATAGCCTGTGACGAAGAGTTCGCGGTTTGATGCGTCGATGAGACCAACCCCAGTGCGCCCTGAACGGAACCGCTGGAAGGCTTCGAGCGTCTTTACCGGATCGTCGCCTGCGCCACCGGATTTGTCTAGTCGTTTCCACTTCTTTGTTTGTGACTCTCCCTTCTGGCCTTTGACGCCACGGTCTTGTATGCCATAGAGACTGAACATCTTATATCCAAACTTCCTCATGCAAAGTCGCATATAATCTCTCCACAACAACTCGAACCGAACAGCTGCTGTTCCTTCATTCTCACCTTTTCCGTAGCCATCTCTCTTTTCACCAGGGCCCCGCCCTTCCTCAAAATCCATCATCGCCCAATGGACCTGCCGGGCTGTGATATGACCTTGAGCAAGGTAGGCTGAAAGTTTGGTGCTGAAATCGAGACCAAGCATGCCATTTCTTGTCTGCTTGTAAGAACTCATAGCTCCAGAGCTGATGAGATGGTTTATGCGATCTAGACCAGCGGTTTCGCCGCCAGAGAATGGATGCGCCGATTGAGCATCTGTCGGCCATTGCGGTGGCCATGTGAGTGTGTATGTTTTATCTTTTTCGAGTGGCGATAACAGAGCTCGCTTCAACTTTTCCAAAGACGAAGGTATGGTGAATGGCTGTTTTTGCGGTGGTATGCTCGAAGGTAACGGTGGAAGTTGGGTTGGCGTAGGTAGGGTACTGCGAGGTCGATCGCGTAGCGGTTCGAGTCCTTTCCTGAACGACGTGTATACATTTGGCAGGTCGGATATGTTGTCGTAAGGTAGGTCACGACTGCGGCGAGTTAGCAAAATCTCTCTCATCAACGCGAAACAACAATGTGACTTACTCATCTATGTAGTACTTTTCGTCGTTCCACGCCTTGAAGTCTACCCCATACTGTTCTGCGAGTTCCCTTACACTGGCCACCTCTCTTTTCTCTTCTGTGTTATCGTCATCGGTCATCCAAACCCCACTGATCTTGCCCTCGTGCTCGTTTTGAGAATACCAGTCGATTATGTCAGAAACAACCTCGGTAGCTTTGCCCACGCGCATTTCCAATCCGGAGTTGCAGTTCAACCCTGCAAGCTTTTCCTTTAGATCCCATACTCCATCCGCTATGAATTGCACGCGATGTGGTCCTGTCCGCCATACTCGCGCGACCTCACTGCGCGCCTCCGGATATGGGCTCTTGTCGGATGGGGAGGATAGGAAACCGGATACTTCGATTTGGTTGGCAGGGAAAATGTATACGGGTAAGAGGTGCGTAAAGTTTGCGCTGCCGTGTTCCGAGGTCAACGAATCATCGCGGTGCCGTCTGTCCCCATTTGAAGAAGTTCTCGAGGAGTTTGGACGCGCGACGTGAAGGGAGGCGGCGTGAAAAGCGGGATTGTCTGAAAGGCGAACATCGCGACTGAGAACATATAGCAAAATGCGCGGGATTCGGCTTGACATAATCGGGGACTTCGGAGACTCTTCGCCAGCAGCACTAAAAGCGCGTGTGCAACAATCAGAACAAACAAATAAGTCGCAGGTGTTGCACGGCGGCCAGGAGCAACTACGTCGTAACATCAAGGTTACGATTCATAGAAGACCTGGTGGTAGTAGAGAGTCGGGAGCATTGCGGTGCCGCAGGCGATAGAGAACTTCAGGGCCTGCGGGACGTCATGACCCTATGAAGGCGACAATGGGGCTCTCACCGAAATTTCTAGGGCACGAGGCCGTTGGACACTAAAAGGTGCCCTAAATGTCATCTGTCAGCCATATCAGGTATTCTCCACCGGAAGGGGTGCAGATAGTCGAAACTGAGGAGATCCGGTTCGAGATTGGTGATGCTTGCTGCAGCATCGTCAACCAGGATTATGACGTGAGGGACGACTTAGTGCGGCGCCACAATTCGCTATGGCCGCTGCAGGGACACAAAACGAGCGACTTGGGGACGGGCCGAGCGTTCGTAGAAAGGATAAAGCTGGCGATTGTCGTGCTGTCATGGAAGCACGGAGAGATCGCGAGACGTGCATGCATGCGCCATGCCGTGCCTGGTTAGGGGTCATGAGAGTTCTAGACGGTTCGGCGCCCAAAAGAGCCGTGCAGGGGCCGCGAATCGTTCATCTTAGGAGTGTTGATCGTGCAGCTTGATCTCGATATTCGTCGATTTGGAGCGGAAATCGCGTACCAGGTACCGCAAGGGGCACGTGGCTGTTAGCCGACTGGGGATATGACATATGACACTTGGGTTGCTCGCCGTCCTCCGATGTCTTGCCTCCACGCACAGCTTTGATCAAAGACTCCTTAATGCAGTAACACCTCGCTTGCCATATACACAGTAGTATGCTGCACATCGCCCACCATTACCAAGTGCTTGTAGTGATGAGTGTGCAGCATCTATATGCCGTCTTTGAATTCGTGGTCCAATAGGTGGAAAGCTCTGCATGAGTTATTGAGTGAGCAAGGTATCACAGACATGCCTGTCGATGAAAAGAATTAGTCTTGCTGATGGTTGTGGTTGATGAATGCGTTGGCCATGAACGGGGCTGACTTGTAGGAACTTGCAGTAGAGTCGGAGATCGCTGCTCAGGTCAGCCCGCAGGAAGGCAATAAGCGTGCCGAGGCACGTAACCGATAGATGTTTACTTTTTTCGCATAATTCAAGGCAGAAGTCTTTTATCCTTGTAATAGGATTGGATGTCAGAGACTGGCCTAGGGAAAATGTGTTATTTAGACACGTCTTCTCTCTGGTTCATATATTGTACCGAATAGGGTATAGCGTATGTTCAACCCACCCTTTCATGACTGTATCTTAGGATTTCATGGTACACGCCATTGACACACCCCGCAAAGCCTTTACCCACACGTATATTCAATACCAATAAGCTTAGGAGTAATACGTACTGGGTGTAGTTCAACCTGCTACCTTCAACAGATTCATTCTATCCAGACGTCTTCATGTCGAAAAGATCAGCTATAGCTTGACAGGATGTTCATGCGCTATATTAGAGACCTGGGACTGCTGTTGGAACCAAACCAAGATTCCCTGAGTGGATTTGGAGGACTTATGTTTGTAGTGAAATAGCGTCTAAGAACGAGCCTCCTGCGGCTATGAGACAGAACATGCCATATCTTGGACTATCTTTGCCTTCAGAATGTAGTTGCAAGTCTGTTTTACAAATAGTGTGAGGCAGAAGCGACATGCGTCGTATCTACTACATCAGTCACTTACGTATATAGCCATCGAGCTTGCCATCCAATGGGTAAAAAGAGCTAGTACAATGGCCTCTCAAGGCTAAGGATCTGTAAGCTTGGGGAATTGTTATACCTAACAAGTCCTTAGGGCTCACAAGGTATGTCTACGAAGCCTAACTAAAGGAAGGTGAAGTAATAACAAGCTTAACGGAGATGTGAAAGAAGAGAGAAAAGGATTTGTACGACAAGGGCTACTAGAATAGTGCTTCATGTACAATCAAAGTTTTTCAATACTATCATTAACATATATTCGTTCCCCTAGTGAAGTTACTCAACATGCGTTTCTGACTGTTGTGACGCGCCTCGCAAGCCTTGACGCCGCATGGTCTGATGATCACCCCATGTTGACAATCAAGCCACCCGTAATCCATTGTCTTCAGTTACCAAGATCGGTAAGCCTTTCTAGCAGACGGTGCGATATACGCCATCAGATGACGGTCTCTGCGCCTTGTGCTTGTGCTCTTTCCGCAGTCCCTTATTGGCATGCTGCTTCTCGATGCTAGGACTGGCACCAGGTTGGAACGCCGAAAGATCAACCGCATCCGTCTTCATCAGCATCTCCGTAACGCCACATATGTCAGTAACTAGCCTGTCGATCATGTCAAGCGACAGACTCTCTCTGACGACTACTCTAAGGATTTCGGTCTTCTCCTCGCCTGGTGGCAGCGGGTAGTCTGCATGCGAGGTTAGTCACGTTATGCCCAATATATCAGATGTAGTCTTACTGGGGATGATGTATTGCTTAGCCCGAAGCAGATTGCTGACCGCTTCTTGCTTGACATGGGGGAATTCCTTGTGGAACTCGTCTGTGAGAGTAAATGCAACGACGGGTAAACCGGCATTGTAGTCTGCGCTTGTTTCGCCTTCTTCGTATGGCTTCTTGCCCTGCTCAAACTTGAGATCGCCCTTCTTGCGGTGAATGTCGCTGACGCAACGGTACCAGCCCTGAATCGTAATGTCAGTAAGTCTTCTTGTGTTACCCAGCGATTTGACGTCGTACCGTATGCTCCAGCGCCCTGCTCAGTAGACGTGCATTAGCCAACATGTTTTCCATAATGGCACGGTATCCCGAGAACCCTAGATGGATCAAGTTGTAGTATTGCGCGATGATCTGAGCTCCAGGACGTGAGAAGTTCAGGGTGTATGACTCTTCTGTTCCACCCAAGTAGTGAAGCTCAAAGATCAGGTGCTTGGGCAGGTAGCTTTCGTCTCGCCAGATGATCCATCCGACACCAGCATACACGAGACCAAACTTGTGACCACTGGTGTTGATGGATTTGACTCGCGGTAGCTCAAAGTTCCACTTCTTGCCAGCTTCCGCGTGGGTGAAGGGGGCGATGAAGCCACCAGATGCAGCATCTACGTGGATGGGAATATCGTTGCCGGTCTCCTTCTCGAAGGCGTCGAGAATATCAGAGATTTCCTCAACAGGCTCGTAATGTCCAGTGTATGTGGAACCAAGGATGACAAACACACCGATTGTGTTCTCGTCGATGTTCTCCTTCACCAACTTTGGGTCCAGACGGTAGGATGAGTCTTCGCTTACGGGAAGAATGCGAGATTCAACTTCGAAGTACCTAGCAAACTTCTCAAGAGCGACTTGTGCGTTTGCGCCCATGATGATGTTTGGATTTGAAGTGTCTTTGCCCTCAGCCCTTCTCTTCTCTTGCCAGCGACGCTTCATGGCAAGTCCACCAAGGTGTATAGCTTCGCTAGAACCAGTAGTTGCCGATCCGATGGCCTTCTCGCCCTTCTGTGCTCCCCACATGTTAGCAATGATGGATACACATCGTGCGTGCATGTCCATCATTGCCGGGTACTCGTCAGCATCCGACATGTTCTTCGACAAATTCTCAATCATGAGCTGTTCGGCCTCCTTCTCCATGTACGTTCCGACGAATGAAGCCAAGTTCAACTGGGGTCGTCCGTCAAGATCAAGCTCGTCCTTGAGTAGCTGGTGGACAACATCGGCAGGAGCGCCATCGTGCGGGATTTTGAATTTCGACAACTCGGTGCCAGCGGCATAGCGACTTGAGTAAGGTGTGATATGTGAGGTTGCTCGGTTCGCGGACTTGTGTCCTCCGGCCTTGTGAATTGGGTGGTCCTTTAGTGTCTCAAGGAGCTCATCCGTGTCTACATGTCTCGCGAGCCCGGCCATTGTGATGAATGTTTGGAGGTAGTTACGTTGGTAGGGGTTGAGATTGATGCAAAGTTTGCAAGCATCAGGCAGGACATATCACCTTTATACGACCAGAAGTGTTTGCTGGTACACGTTGACAACGTACATACGCATGACGACACACTACGTCCGTTGTCGCTCACACGCTCACGTTGGCCATGCAGCCAAAATGGAATATGCAGACCAAGCAAAACCCGCATTGAAAAGCTTGACATTTGCTTGGTAAAAAGCTTGTTTCTGGCAGTGAATGGATCTTGTGGGACGTGTCATGACCAATTAAGGAGCCGTTTTCAAGTTCCGCAACGGGAGTCGGCTAGGGATTTCAACCGCGGGACTGGCAAACAATGGGATCAAACACGCGGCTTTCTATGGGACTGGCCAATCTGGCCTCATACCTTGCAGCGAAAGCAAAGCAGGAAAATAACGCATAGTGACGAATCTCGTACAGACCAAAAGCCGGAAGTAATAGCCTTCATGCACATTGATGGGTCAATGACGGAATTCTGGCTGTCACCCGGTCCGTCTTTTCGCCGACAGCGCGCCGTCACGTGACAGAGTGCTCAACTGAGCAGCACCAAACCTGCCATATCTGATAATATCCCAACAAACCTTTCGGAGATCTTAGCGGCATCAGATGTGACTCCGTCAGACTCTCCCAAAGCTCTGATGCAGGCTTACCTGGTTGATGGCTACGAAACGCTCAAAGTTTCGGGTGGTGAGATGGGATTGGTGATCATGACGTAGTCACGTCATCGCCATCACATCCGTGGAACGCGGGGAAGATCGACTGACGCGTCCTCACAGTCTGGACAAGACGGTACGCGGCCTCGGTGCCTTGACGGTGTGTAGAGAATATACCTTCAAATTAAGGGTCTATATTTGCAAAGCAGTAGAGCTCGAGTGTTTGCTGCTATTTGTAACCACTTCATCAAGCACAATTGTTGTTGTTTGAGGTTGGTCCGCCTTGTAGTCCGAAGCCCAAGAAGCGGGTCACCTACCGAGAGCTCCGCCCCAATAACGTTGCCACGCAGTGGTGTTGTAATCGACTCGTCTTACTCTTTAGCTTGGTTGCCTAGCTACTCATTACAGTACTTGTGCTCCCCTACCATTCTTGCTCGTTCACCCAATCTCCATCAATCACCAAGTCAACATGCGATTCTTACGCGTTGTACCAGCCTTGCCTCTGGCGACTGCATTCGTCATTACCGAGCCAGAAGTCTTCTCAAACATCAACATTGAGAAGTCTGGAAAGTCCCTTGTCGACAACGCTCATACTGTTCTCGACAACGCTCAAAATGTCATTGACGATGCATTCAGCAAGATCAAGGACAGCGCCAAGGACGTCTACAGCAAGATTCACCATGCTGGTGCCGACGTTGAGTCGTGGTTAGAGGGCTCTCAATTCGACGACAGCGTCGTTGACTTTGAGAGTCCTGAGCACCCTCCTCATGATGGACCGCCACACCATGGCGGACCTCACCACCCTCCACACGACCAAAAGCCGAACCGCACGGTCTACGAGCTCATCAACGAGAGCAAATACACTACAAAGCTTGCAAAGTGGATCAATGAGTTCGACGACATTGTGGAGGCGCTTAACAGCACCAAGGCCAACTACACAGTCTTTGCCCCCACAGACGAGGCCTTTGAGAAGATTCCCGAGCATCACCACAAGCCTTCCAAGGAAGTCTTGAAGGACATCCTGCTGTACCATGTCACCGACGACTTGTATCCTGCTGGTCGCGTACTCCACACATACACTATCCCAACTTTGTACGCTCCAAGCAAGAACCTAGGTCACTCGCAGCGCCTTACTGTCCGCGTGACACTCAAGGGTCCTGCGATCAACTTCTACAGCCGCCTCGTAGCAGTAAACATTTTCGGAACCAACGGCGTCGTCCACGGTGTTGACTCCATCCTCGTACCACCTCCGAACGTCGCCTCCATCATCGACTTACTCCCTGGCGAGTTCAGCACTCTTGAACTCGGTCTCACAAAGACAGGTATCTATGAGAAGATGAACAGCACCGAGTACGAGCACAACGGCGGTACATTCTTCGCGCCCTCCAACTTTGCGTTCCAGAAGCTTGGAGCGCGTGCCAACGCCTTCTTGTTCTCAAAGTATGGCGAGAAGTACCTGAAGGCTCTTCTAGAGTACCACATCGTCGTTGATCAGACACTTTACACTGATGCCTTCTACGACGGGCGTAAGGACGACAAGGAGACTGTTGAGGAGCGGCCAGGAGGCTACCACTACGATCTCCCTACTGCTCTTTGCCACAAGAACCTCGCCGTTGACGTTGGTCGCTACGGACCTTTTGTTGAGATCAGGATCAACGGCTTCTCGCGTGTCACTGTTCATGACGGTGTAGCTAGCGACGGTGTCATCCAGGTCGTCTCCAACGTCCTGATCCCGCCCAAGACTTCTGGTGGCGAGCAGAGCTTTTGGAAGGGTGAGGAGCTCGACGTCGAGGACCTGAAGGAGCGTCTCCAGCCTCTTGTTGAGAACATGGAGTTGTAGATCAACAACTCTTATTCGAGCCTTGAAATTTGTTACCTTCTTGCTGCGAGACGATCTTTACGACATATTCCTTGTATAATAACTTTCCCTCCAAGCGGAGTGGCTACTTCACACTAACATGTGTATGACTCAGATAGCAAATCAACAAACGAATACAAACATGACACCATATGTTGCGCTTGCAATCGTGATATTGCCACTACTGATGTCTTTCATCTAGTCTAAGCTAACCTTGAAGTCCATGTGTGCAGGCCACCATTCTTTCTAACAGAGGACTGTAATGTGTTTAGTTCATCAAAGTCTCGTTGTAGTTACCGTCACTATACATTTCGTGTAAGTAGCAGCAACCACACAGTTAATTATCCAGCCTTCAGGCGATCTTGTTGGATCTCATTTTATCGCAAGACCTAAACGCAAGGTGTGTCTATACCGTACACAAAAGCAAACCAGAGTCATGAGTAGCAAATACCTCTACAACGACCAATTTCTACGAGAAGTCCTCGCCTCCTTCTTCAATCGTGTTTTTGACCCGCAATAGAAGTGTAGTCTTCCACTTGTCAAGCTTAGTGAGCTGGTCAAAATTGAACAACTGTGACAAATCAGTACGATGCGCATTTATGAATGTGTGCCAATTGAAGAGAACATACCTTCTCAGAAAACGCCTCCTGATCACCGTCTTGCACTGCAGCCGCCAAGTCAACAAGTAGTGCGTGCTCCCTTTGCTGCTGGAAGCTTGGGTCCAGCTCTCTATACCTGTCAAGCGCAGTGTTGACACCGACCTGGTCGCCTGTGCATAGCTGGCAGATACCAGCCTTGAGTAGGTACTCCTTGACGGACCAGCGCATAAGGTTATTAGAAATCGAGGTTCTGGCAACCTTCTCGTAAATTTCGATGGCTTTGTAGTAGTCCTTGCCTTCTAGAGCGACGAGGTCGGCGGTCTTGAGCCAAAGCTTGTTGGCAAGTGCTTCAGCATTGTCACTCTCGTACCAGCCAGCCGCTTCCTCGTATGCGGCTGCAGCTCGGGTGTTGTCGCCGAGCTCGACTTCGTAGAGCTCTGCAAGGTTCTGCTTGTGGGTGGCTGCACGGCGGAAGTTGCCCTTGCTGCAGTAATGCGCAATGGCTTTGTCTAGACACCGCGCAGCTGCTTCTGGGTCATCTTTGCGGTAGGCCTCTGATAATAAATCAGTCATAGTCGTTTCAAACGTGGAAGAACATTTGAGTGAAGAAACTTACTGAAGGCGTCTGTAAGCGTGTTTGCTTCGTCATCAGGCTCGTTCAGATTCTGACGTTGTACTGATGCCGCCTTTTCGAAAGCCTCGCCTGCCTCCTTGCCTAGAACATGTTAGTTGTTAAGACGGGATCGTTTTCCAGCACGCATCTGACCATACCCATCTTTTGCATCCGGAACGCATTTGCTGCAGCGATGAACTGATCTGCGGCTGCCTCATCTATCACGTGCGTCAGTCCAAAGGCGCATATATGCTACTTTTCAGATCATACACTTGTCTTGCTTGTTGCTGAAGAAGCTGAAGCCGCCAGATGCCTTCTGCAACGATGCTTCTGCCTGTTGTCACGTCAATATCAGTTATCTGCTTTGTGGCTGAGTCTTGGAAGGCCCCACCTGTCGCAGCAGCGCTCGTGGATCGCCGGCCATGTTTGCTGAGTTGTCGAGTGCGGAGGTTGTTTGCAGGAGAGGGAGGGTCAGTATGAGATATGACTGTATAGGCAGACGTTATGTTGAAACTTTGGTCGAGACAGGTGGCTGCACTTGCTGTCTCAATGAGCGATGACGACCCACGTTGGTCCATGCGAGAGGGCTGTGACCTCGGCGGCGGCTTTACCGCTTCCGCACTAGTGTTTGCAGCCCGCCTCAAGCTTCACGACGTTGCATTCACAGCAGCGTCGAGCGGTCCGCAAGAAACATGGCTACACGTCGCGCATTTGCACCCTCAATGTTTTGCAGTCCTTCACAACGCCTGCAAACACGCTCATACACGCCTTCGCCTCTACGTCCATACCAAAACCGAGGCGTACATCCCGACGAGCTTGAAAAGCTTCTAGCAGAGCCCACATGGTCCGTCGAATCTCTCCTACCACCGAAGACACGCGCTCCCGACGCTCCCCAGATCACCTCTCAGCAGCTTCATCATCTACTACGACTATCCGCTCTCCCGCCGCCGGAAACGCCCGAACAAGAGCAGAAGATGCTGGACACACTGGCAGCACAACTCCACTTTGTGGGCAAGATACAGGAGGTGGATACAACGGGTGTAAAGCCTCTTCGGGCGATACGTGATGAGTCAAAGGCTGCGGAAGAAGAGCAGACTATCACCTTGGAGACACTAAAGGACGCCCTGGGCAAAGAGAAGGTCGTAGGACAGCATCACAAGCGGTTACAACGAGATGCTACGCCGGTTGACGCTCAAGATGTTGAGGACTGGGATGTGCTGGGCTCGGCTGAGCGAAAGGCCGGTAAATATTTTGTTGTCGAGAGCGAGAGGCCGCAGGAATAAGTCTTTCATACGACTTTGCACATGTCTAGAACCAGAGCCATCGGTGCACGATGAGATGTGCATGACTACGAATAGTATACGGCTACGAAGGACACCAGGACGAGCGGCAAGCAGCGCCTATACTTGTTTGCAACGTTCGTATCTTCGTTGGCAAACAAGTAAACTCCAACGACCAGGGATAGTGTCAATCCAGAGGAACACAACACCAGCCTCCATATGACAACCGTCGTAAATGGGAGACAACAAGAACCAGCAACAAGCCAAAGATTCATTCACCAGAGACCGGCCTCCTTCCTGCAATTTGTGCAACGCTTAACAACATGCGCTTCCACATCACAGCCACAAAAGGGCGCCTCATCCATATCGTCGAATTCTGGTGTCGACAGCCGACTCAGCCTAGGTGTCGGAGGAGGTGTGGGGCCTGCGAAGGAATTCACAGCTGTTTTCGTCTTCAAAGGCAGTCCTTCGCTCGACTTTGCTTCGGCATGAAGGATCACCGACTTTGATCTAACTTTGGACGAACGCTTGGCGGAAGTCACGTGTAACTCTGAGCTGGGTTCCGCGACTTTCCTTCGAGGTGCGGGGTGAGGTTGTGACGAGACGTGTTCAAAGCTGCTTTGTGGGTATGAGTCTTCATCTGCTTTGGGGTATAGGACGAAGTCGGTGTATCCCTGGACTGGTGGTTCAACCTTCCAATCCGCCCAGCGGCGACGACGAGATTCCGCGATCTGCACATTGCTTCCATCGTGGTACGTCGTCTGACGGTACTCGTGTGTATCTTGCTTCTTTAGTAGAAGGGCTGATGCCTGGAGAGCCGACTGTGTGGATGGCGTCGACGACATGGTGACAAGATGATCCAACCGGCACCATGAAATATCAGAAAAGAGTTGGAAGTGGTCTTCAATGACTTTTCAGCACCTTCAGGCCGGTTCTGAGATGAAGAAGAGATGTGGTGGGGTGGTCGAGCGGAAGGATTAGTGGGGGGAAAGAATGATGAAGGGTCCAAGAGGTGGGTGGTGGGCGGTGCGAGTATATACAGTGCGGGATCAACTCGCCAAGCCCCATCTCGCCTGACACCCTAGACCTCCTGCACTACCACCACACCCCTTGTGCACTCTGTTCCCCTACGCCAATCGAATCCGAAGCTCTCAGTCGGTATGGAGAGACTGTATTCGTCTGAAAAGACAGGGATTTGCACAACTTGGATGTTATAGTGCACTTTTGCATAGTTCCACATTGGGATATAGGTGTGTCTACTCGTCGAGGTCACCATGAGCATCCAACCCAGAGCGAGAAGGACTTGCGAGTACTCGAAGCCAATATGGAGACTGTGTTTGTTCGATGCATCATGTCTTCAAGATGCTCGAATGTTGACCTTGTCGTCAGTGGCTCTCGTCCTCGATCCTAAGCATATCCGGATTGCATACCACTTTCAATGTCTCACATAGTATAGTTTACAGCCCCTCAATACTGTGGGACACCAATCTCAGCCTTTTTGTCTGATTTTCAGCACCTCCGATGGACATTGTGGTGTAGTTGGTCGCTCAAGTTTGCAGAGCGCGTGCCAAGGCATTACCAAAATGTCAACCCTGCAAATCACACAAAGACCATGTGGCTGCATGACTCTCCAGATCCAACTCATGTATGTAATCGTCTCATAACAGAAGAACTCCAGCTAGGACCTACTAGCTAGCACTTAAATATACTAGAGTCACCGAACCTACTATCAAACACTTGGGCAACAAGGTCTAGTCCACGTGACTTCTTGTCAGAACAGGCGCTCAAGTGTCTTGTCTTGTGTACGTGACGGCTGCTCTCTTCGATACGACAAGGAGTAGAAAACATATTGTCCGGATGCCAACATGGCACTCTATACAGACTTTGGGGCAAGTAGAAAATGAGCGTTGCGCATTCAGAACACGCATCAGTCCCGCCTTTCTCCTCCGTCCAACTCTTTCAAAGGTTCCAAGTAAGGAACAAGAATGGATTGTCGAAAAAGTCAGATGACATGACGAGTGGGAATAAGAGATTTCCATATTATTTGATTTGTGTTTCTGAGATTACAAAATTACAGGGAAAATACTCAACTCTTTAGCCAGACGGCAACTATGCCGTTCATGCATGCAATCTATGCTTTCTCTCTCTCTCTCTCTCTTTCCTTGGATAATAAAAATACAAAGCCCCATCAATCCTCTCTCTGGTCATCTCTTACTAAACCTGCCAATCAAAGCAGAAACAATCTGTGAAAACGTAACAAAAAAAAGGCCGCCGGTTTGGAAAGGAACACTCTCTCCATCATCCCAATTCCCATGCCATGGTATTGTCCCCCTAAATCCCCTTCTCCTCTTCCAAAAAACAACAACAAAAAAACACTCCCAAATTAACGCCCATTCCAATGCATATGTTTTGTTACACAATCGCCCCTACTCCGGACTCGCACCCCTAACAGACGGCTCCACACTCGCACTCGCCCTCCCTCTATCCTTGCCCCCACCACCACCAGGACCCAAACTAAGCTTAATCTTCTTCTTCTTGGGTGAATCTCCACCGACATCATCAGCGTCACGGTCGCGCTTGCCCTCACCCCTTTCACTGCTCTCGCTGTGTTTTCTATCCCCAAGATCAGGTCTACCACCACTACTAGTTTTCAGCTTGACTTTGAGCGTGCCATTGCCATTGCCGTTGGAAGTAGTAGTAGTCGAGGTAGAAGATGGCTTATCACGATCAGCCTTCTTGACATAGGACGACTTCTTCTTCATCTTGCGGCGTTCAGGGGTATCGTTGTCCATATCATCAGCGTCGGCATCGTCGTCTTTTTCGCCCTTGAGACGTTTAACGGGCGAGATGCCCTTTGTTTTGCTACTCGTCTTGGGGTTGTTGGCGGATGACGACTCGCCGGGCGCGGGCGTGCCCATGCGACTTCCCAGCGGCGTGTTGCCGAGACCTGAACCCGTGCCGCCGTTTTGTCCCGTGAGTTTGGCCATGGCGTTGCGACTACTCTGCCGCCCGCTGATGCCGAGGCACTTTTCTAGGTGCTGTGCGAAGCGCGTTATGAGTAAGCTGCGCTTGCAGTTGGGACACGTGTGCCAGGGGATGTAGGAAGCGGGTTTGCCGCCCGTGTTGAGCTTGATTTCCTTGGTGTCGCCGCCGGCCATGTCTGTGTCTTGGGAGCCGGGCGTGCCTACGCTCTCCTTCTCGGCGTTCTTCTGCTGCTGCTTGATGAGCTCGCGTTCCTTCTTGCTCTTGGCCATGTCGGTGGGGAAGGGGTTGCCGTAGACGTCGTGGCCCGATCGCTGGACGAAGGGGTAGAGCATGCAGTACTCTTTGGTCAGGTCTGGGTTCTGCATGCCCTTGCCCATGATGGGGTGCATCAACCGGGGCAGCTTGCAGTGCGGACATATTATCTCAGGCGTTGTCTTGAGCGGATTGCCCTTGAGGAAGACGCGCCCATTGTCGTACTTTGCTGCCGATGTCTCAGCGACGGGTATCGACGTGGCGCCTGTCGTGTTTTGCTTCTGCGACTGCGGCTCGAGGTTTGCCAGGGCGATAGACTCGGCTTGCGTGGCGGCCGACTGCATGCGGAGCAGCTTCTCGGATCGGTGGCATGATAGGGCCGTGGTGAAGACGATGTTGCTCAGCAAGTCGTCGAGGATGTTGGTAGTCTGCGACACGTTTCTTAGCAAGGCGCATCATGGGGAGGGTCATGTAACCGAGGAGGCGGTTTGCGGCGGACAGGCCCTACCAGTTCTTGGAGCACGTCTGACGGCAGTCCCACGGCAGCGTCGACGCCCTCGCCCTGGTCGTCGGCCGGCCGGTCCTCAGACATGTCGTTGACCGTGGGCGGAGTTGTTCACGGCGGAGTGGTTCAGGGCGTGGAGAAAGTGTTGCTGAGACCTTAGCGTCAGTTACGGGAGATATCGATGGGCTTCCCATGCATCCCTGCTCCGGGACCCATTTAGCGCATGCAGCCAAAACTACCTACCCCACACAACGAGAACAGCGTGTTCGCAAAAGACTCCACACACGCGTCGGGTATCATTTCATCCATCTAGACCTGTTTACACTACCTCCCACCTCGCCAGTCTGCCTATGGTGCTTCCCGCCTGTCTCACAATGCACACGCCATCGCTACCTACTCTGTGCACCGCCAGATTCGCAATAGCTGTTGGCATGCCCTCTGCAAGGTTGTAGTTGCCTGTTGTAACAAAGCCCATTAGATCCGCCTCGTCGGGGACAAGAGGATAGTCCTCCTCGCCTGCTTTCGATGCACGCTTTGTGCCAGGTTGTGGCATCAAGGACAGCCATCTGCTTCGAACTTGTGCGTCTGCAGGCAGACGGTAGATGCGAGCGCAGTCTGTAGGGGTACCTCGCTGTACCATTGTGATCTTGGCAGTGAACACATCTAGTGACGGCCAAGAGTCGCCCAACGTAGCATTGCCCTTCTCAATCAAGTCAACTGCATCTCTGGGAGAGAGCTGTCTGACAGGGGTCCGGGACTCTCCTGGCTCCTCTCGAGGAGTGGTAATCTCTCCTTTCCATCTTGGAATCAATCGCTCCCAGTCGCAAGACCAGGGATCTCCAATCTCACCCTTCCTACCATTGCCGAGATCAATCGTCGACCACTCAATCCTCTTTCCCTTTGGACGCTTAGTCCATTCGTGCTTCCTCACCTCTCGCTCACGTAGTTCCCAACTCCATCCAGCATCCGTGCCAGGATGATCGTACGGGAAGTGCGGCTTCGAGCGCTCAAAGTCAACCTGGCGTCTTTCTTTCAAGCCGCCAAATAGTGGGGTTTCGCCTGTAGATACCGGGTAGCGCATCATCTGTCGCCATACGGGCATGACGCATCTCCAGGGAAGAAGAACAGTCCAAGACTTGCTTTCTCGCGATACAAGTACAAGCGTCGGAATACGCGGATCGGTTGAGCGTGCCTCTGGGTCTTCACCTAATGTGCATGCGCTCTTCCGACGATTTATAGACTTCTGAGACGGCATGGTTCGTTGTGCGGCTAGCCGGCTGTTGGTATCGAAGATGGAGGCTGGGATTGAGGCGTTGTCGAGCGGCCAGGCTGCAAGGGTTTCCGTCAAGGCAGTCAGAGACTGTTGGTCGTATGCCACGGGCGATGTGCGAGGAGGATCGCGAAGCCGGGGATCTGAAATGTTAAAAGACAAAAGCGCACCGTTTGGTAGTGACGCAGCGTCTGTGACAGAAGCCAAGGCGGGCCAAAGAGACTCTGGAGCATCGGGCCCTGCATCTGGGGGAGATACAGGAGCGAGGATCGAGCAAAGGGCTTCTGTAGCGGCAGGACCTGTGATCTCGATAGAGCCAATATCGAAGCGGAGATCTCTAACCGTGACAGCTGGCTTCTGCACTTTCGCCATCCTGACCACTTGATTCCAGAGTTGTAAGAAAGCGCTCGGGTGCACACGAACAAAGGCTTTCATCTTGTTGCTGCCTGCATGCGGGGCACACCAGATGACAGTCACTTGGGCGATTTTCTTCAGCGGCTTGGCTTCTCTTTCGTATATCCAGCCTTCCCAAACTCTGGTACCATTTCTCCACTTCCTGGCCCTGCCTCTGTTCTGCCACGGGTCCTCTGCACTGTCTACTGCAAAGTGCAGACCCTTGAGTAGCCCGGTTATACTAGCTTCAGGGCCCTCGAGGCTGAGAGTTGACATGTAGCTTACATCCCACGCAACGGCTCCGCGCTGGGTTGCGGCTCTGTGTGTCAGACGATATGCCTTGACTGCTGGTTGCAGTGGGATTGCGAAGCGCCAGAGCGGCTCCTTTGGTTCTGTCATCTTTGCGCGCTTCGTATGCCATAGATGCGTGGGTAGCCATGTCTTGTCTCGCTGTCGTCTGCGGAATCGAGATGGAGGGGTGGCGGGCGTAGCTAAAGCAGGAAACTTGCGCTTCGGCTTTGGTGGTGGAGGCTTCGTGACTTGCTCCGGGGCATCCTCCATTGCTGCGTCCCCGTCATGGTCTTTCCCAGCTGCAGCGGTGTTGCCGTTATTCCTCTTCTTGGCGACCTGCCTGCTGTTCTCCCTCCCCGCCTTCCTCAGATGCTTCTTCTTCCCTTTCCCAACACCGCTCCCGCTAGTGCCTCTTGAAATGGGTGTGTTGTCCTCTTTAGCCTCCTGTCGCGCCCTGACCCGCAGTCTCTTTGGTACGCGATGCGGATTATGGCTCGCCGTCCTCCTCCTCAACCCCCTCGGCACATCTTGAAAAGCTCGGCGCGACTGCCCCTTCTTGGCCGCCTTGATGGCGCCCTCGAGCGATTTGATCTCGTTTTCGTGTGACTTGAGAAAGTTCTTGACGTTGATCTCGCCATTGGGGTACGCGTTGCTAGTCGGTATGGCGGGGATGACGTGCTGCGGCCTCTGTTGGAATCGGGTACGTTTGACAGGATTGCCAGGACCCGTGTTGCCTGGCGTCTGCTTCCTCTTTCTCGAACTATCGGCCATGGTGGATCTGGAACAGGCGTCGCTATAGCATCAAGGCTATTCGAGCTCACTGGGCCAACGGTCGCTGCGACTGAATCTTTTAGCGAGACGGTCCCCACGCCGACGGGCTTAGCGCGGAGTCATTCGTCACGTCAGCACGTGTCTGGCCGAAGCACTGGCAGTCCCTACCAACGCCGACTTGGACCCTTTGGTATTGGTCCAAACGTGCCAGGCCAGCAACGGCATTCTGTTTCATCCGCCAGGCCCCTAGCTCGTCTTTTGATTAATTACTCCATTCACAACATCTTCATTTCGCCATTTCGGCCAGGTGCTCCACCTTTCTGACCTCCCCTGTGATTGCATCGTCCCCCCTGCAGGAGTGCGCAGCCACCATGCTGCCCTGTCCTTGTGGTCCTGGACTGGTCCTGATCATTCAATGTTTTCCCACACCTTGTTACTACACAACAACAGCATCTTTTCTTTGAACACACGCACACACACAACGCATAGCCATTCTGACACTTACATCTACCTCTATTGTTACTGTACCGCATACACACACACACACACCTACTGCTAGTACATAATGATTCACACATACACAACCATGTCTCCCCCCTCTTATTCTTCCGATCAAATGTGCAAGATGAACTTCAGTCCACTGCGATCGCCCTCACCAAGAAAACGTTTCGCCGGCCACGAGCGAAACCAGTCAGAAGCCATCCAACGCCCACGACCCATCAGCGTAGCAAGCAACTCAGTCATGGTACAGCACGCAAAGAGAGCTTCAATATACGTCTCAGATGCTTCCATCTTGCTCCAACAACGCAATCCCATTGCCTCGCCCATGTCACCAACAGACTCGGGCATGGCCTCGCCAACCAGCGAGTCTGGAGAAGTCACGGATCACTACGCCATCCTCGAACTCACACCCGAGGCCACCACGGACGAAATCAGAGCTGCGTACCGCCGTCTGCGCTCCGTCTACTTTGCCAATGACGCGAAAAAGTATCGAGCACTGCAGGCCGGCTTCGACTGTTTGATGGACCCAGAGGCACGCCAAGCCTACGATGCAACCTATCAGCCAGCAGCTCCAACTTCGCTCTCCAGCATTGACGAAATCTTGGACCAAGGAAAGCACTGGCGCAAGGACAGCGCTCATGGCGACGATCCAGCAGTCATCCCCGAAGAAGAAGAAGAGGAAGAGGAAGAGCAGCAAGTACGGACTGACGACCCTAATTGGGGTCTTAAACGGTTCCAGCCTGTCCTTGAATCGGTGCTGGGCTCCGAGCCATATTTCTCATACGTCCCTCTGCCTACGTATTCGCTGCCTGTGTGTAGGTCGCCCAAGTACGTTGGACAGTTTGCGGTGAACGCGTGGCCCAATTAGACGGTCTCGTCTCATCGATGTCTGGATTCAACCCACTCGACATGGCTCGAGTTCTTTACCATGTTCATATTCATAGCAGAGCAGGTCTTGCATTTGGGCGGGTTTGCTTTGTGGCGTCTTGGGCGGTCTTTTGTTCCTCTGTCCACTTAGCGTTGTTTTTATCAAGCGGCGATTCACCACCATCTGCGATTTACCCTCGTCTTGTTATATACCTAAAGTCCCAACTTTACTGCAAATTGGCCACACTCACTATACCTACTCGGATATCGAGCAACATTGAATGATAATGTATGACACACATGACACTTGTCAGATTTCGAGCGTGCCTGTGCCAAAATTTGTATACATCACGAAATTCAGCATGGAATGGCAACTAAATGAACCAGAGTCGCATTGCTGATATCGATCGCTATGATACAGGGCTCCAAGTTGCGAACGCCACTCTGATCCAATCGTCTCCAGCTCTAAGAAATTGTCGCATGCTAATTGTCGCCATGGCGAAATATTTACTGGTCGAGCTTTACGGGGAAGTTGCCAGCCTCTGTTCACAAATCAGCAACTATATTCATCTTGGACGCCTCGACTGCATGCGCAATGGGCTTGGGAGGAAACACTCACCACGCTGGTCGTCCCATCGCGATGTCCAGCCGCTGGGGCACAGGGACTTGTAGGCCAACATGAACTATATCCATCAGTACACAGGTCCGTGTCTCATTCGGCTTCTGCGGGGTCGCGCACCTGGCGGCAGGGAGCAAAGTCCTCGCCCTTGGCGATGATGCACTTGTGGTAGTCGACGTAGTTTTGCCAGCAGTGCTTGGTCTGGTTCTGGTTGGGGAAGCGGGCATCGAAGCCTGTGTGCGCCGAAGCTTTGTTAGCAGGCCATATCGCATATCTGGAGCTGTGGAAGCTATTTTGGCAGGCGGTGCAGGCAGGCGTGCGAGTCCGGGGGTGGCGTACCAGCTGTGCGGTGGGAGATTAGCTATCAATTCGAGAGACTGCGGAGTAGCGGGAAAAGCTCACCAGTGACAAACTTGAAGGGCTTGGTTACAAGCTCGTCGCCGTTCTCGCTGTCAGACATGGTTGCGATGGGGGTGGTTGGAGTTTGTCGAGGGTGAGGGTGGCGGCAATGGCTGGGCTTGGTGTGGTCGTCAAAGTGGTGACGGAAGTGAAGTTGTGAGGTTGCGATGGTTCGACCCGAAACGCATTGTCCACACACAATTCGCTCGGCGTTTTCCGGGCGAACCAGGGCCGCGAGCTCTCTCAGCATCTGCGTGCCTGTGACGAAACAGCCATTATCGATCCCCCAACGACGACGCCAACTCTCCACTCTCCACTCCAATTAATAACACACAAACACCGCCAACATGTTCAAAGCTACCAGGGCCCTGTCTATGCAGCCAACACGCATGATGGCTATGCAGCCTACGCGCATGGCTGCCATGCGCCCGAGCCCCCAGCTCTTCATGAGGCAGACGATGCGCATGCGCAACCCTGTGCCTGTATGAAATGCCACATCTCACTGTGACTCGGGAATTGATGCTGACAACATGACAGAAGGAGGAGCACGGCGGTAAGCCAACCACAGCCGCCGCATATCGCCATCCAACATGAATTGACGACGTACAGCCCACACCGTATCCCAGCGTATCCGCCAGCTCAAGAACATCCCCACTGAGATTTGGCCTCTGAGTACGTTTTGTTCCCTCCCCCTCTACGCTCCCTTTCGAGCCTCTTGCTAACCCTAACATCTAGTCATCGTTCTCGGGTAAGCCCCTCCATTCCGCTTCGAATACTCTAACGCAGGTGGTCTGATACATTCGCAGCGTCGCCGTCGGCATGGCCTTCTTCTCCATCACCCGGAAACTCTGGGTCGACAAGACCCTCCGCCTCAAGCGACAGGGCAAGCAGGAGTAGGCACCTGGGCTTGCAAGGAACCGGATACAATAAAGATGGAATCGGCGGGCTTGGAAGGGCTCCAGCAGCCATGTGTATAGGTACAGCATACGGGACAGAGTCCTCGTCAAGTTCGAAATCAAGCATAAGATTCATTGCGAGTTGCGTCTAGACGTGCAAAAGGAAGTCATCGAGTGCAATGGCGAGATCATCAAGGACTTTGAATCTTAGCAAGTGCGGCAGAATGTGGCACGATTCCTAAACCGTGCTTGTGATATGCTGTATTCATACCTTCTCCTAGAGGAGAAAAAACTTTGTGTAACAGAACATGGTATCAAATACATTTTTCCAACGCCTGCAAACGCCAAAGAAGGACTGAGATTAGACTGGCTTCGGTCCTGCCTCGTCAAGACCTTCCAAGCCCTGCATAGGGTCCATAGGCCCATTGGCCTCGTCTTGGATCTGTTCACTAGCTTTGCGATCCTCTTCACTCACAGCATGCTTGGCCAACCAGCCCTCCTGCATTTTGTTAGCATAAAAAGTCGCACATGTACAGCAACATGTTACACACCTGCTCCCAGATGGCTGTTTTGCTGCCTAGTCCTTCGTTTGCGTCTTTCTGTGGTTTGGCTGCGGCTACCTTGATAACGGAGCCGTACAGCTCGCTACGGTCCATGTTGTCAATAGCGTCTGTCGCATCGGTTGCAGTCTCAAACTCGACATAGCCGAATCCCCGATGTTGATCGCCCTGGCTCTGGTTTTCCGGTTTGGGCAAGTTGACTTCAACAATGTCGCCAAATGGCAGGAAGGCATGGAAGAGCGTCTGCTGAGTGACTGCTTGGTCGAGGCCGCCGACGAAGACGGTAGCCTTTAGTCGTGACGTGTCTGATAGATTCGACATGGCTGGCTGTGGGTGCGAATTCGGAAATGGCTTGTCGATGGTCGCGTTGTCGAGATTCGGAGCTGAAATTCGATATCACGTGGCTAGCGGGACCCACAGTTGGCCGCGCCCGCCATGGACCAGGGAAGGACAGGTGGATGCTCCGTTGATGGTGAAGCACGTCGTCGCCTTGATTGCATTCCGCGCTCAAGACACATTGCGGACACTCCTTACTCTTTTGCACAACGCATACCTCTCTTCTCACTCCCAGATCCCCTCACTTGTCCCTTATTTTGTTCGTGCCTTATTCCCCAATTCGCTAATCTGACACCGAGGCGCCATCACCGCCCAACACCGTCATGGTCCGCCTACGAGAAATCCCCAGGACGGCCTGTTTCGCCTGGTCGCCAGGCCCCACGCAGCCTCTTGTTGCCACTGGAACCAAGGCCGGGGCTGTGGACGCCGACTTTTCAAACGAAACACAATTGGAGCTCTGGGAGCTCAAGTTGGACGACGCCGAGCAGGGCGTGGAGCTCAAGCCCGTTGCTACCGTGAGCGTCGAGTCGAGGTACCTAGCAATAGTCCAGGCCCATATGATGGTGTTATGTAACTAAGCAAACATGGCAGGTTCAACGACATTGCATGGAGTCAACCCAGTGAACAGTACCCGCGGGGCATAATAGCGGGTGCGCTCGACAGCGGGGCACTAGTCCTATGGGATGCAGAGAAGCTGCAGGCAGGCGAGGGTGAGGATGCGGAGATTGACCAGATCGACAAGCACACGGGTCCCATCCAGGCGATACAGTTCAACCCCTTCCGATCCAACATCCTCGCCTCGGCCGGTGCCAAGGGCGAGCTCTACGTCCACGACCTCGCCGACGACTCCAAGTCGTTCCGCCTAGGCAAGGCTGGAGCGAACCCTGACGAGTACACTACATTAGACTGGAACAAGAAGGTTGCGCACATTCTGGCCACCGGCAGCAGTGGCGGCTTCGTCACCGTCTGGGACGTCAAGCTGAAGAAGGAGAACCTCACATTGAATCACTATGGACGGAAAACAGTCAGCGCCGTGTCGTGGGACCCCAACGTGCCCACGCGACTAGTCACCGCCATCCCGACGGACCAGAATCCGCTCGTGCTGGTATGGGACCTTCGCAACACCAATGCACCAGAGAAGACGCTACAGGCACACGACCAGGGTGTACTGTCGCTTTCGTGGTGTGTGCAAGACAGCGACCTCTTGCTATCTTGCGGCAAGGACAACAGGACCATTGCCTGGAACCCGCACACCGGAGAGCAGCTGGGCGAATTCCCAGTTGTCACAAACTGGACCTTCCAGACTAGATTCAACCCCGCGAACCCGAACCTCCTCGCTACGGCATCCTTCGACGGCAAGATTGCTGTTCAGACGCTACAAAACACTGGCGCTGCAGCGGACCAGAGCAAGGCGGCGACTGAAGCCCCTGCAGGCGAGGACTTCTTCGCCCAGACACACGCAGAGCCCCAGGGCGCATCCTTCTCTCTGAAGACACCCCCGAAATGGCTGAAGAGGAGAGCGGGTGTCGCCTTTGGCTTTGGTGGAAAATTGGTGCGGTTCGGCATCGTTGATAACAAGTCCAAGATCTCCATCGAGACATTCGCAGTAGATTCAGACGTCAGCGCCGCAAGTGAGGAGTTCGACAAGGCTCTGGACAAGGGCGATCTCACAGCAATATGCGAGTCGAAGATTTCAAAGGCTGCCAATGAGGAAGAGAAGGCCGACTGGACCGTGATCGAGACCCTCACATCAGAAAACCCACGAAGCAAGCTTGTCGAATACCTTGGCTTTTCTGACAAGGAAGAGGAGCTGGAAGAAGAAGAAAAGAAGAAGGAAGAGAAGACAAACGGCGATGCGGACGAAGGTTCCTCATTCTTCGATAATGCGACTGATGAGGGCAACTTCCTCTCGGATCTCGCAGCTTCCAAGGGCGCCAAGACCAACAATCCCTTCCAGATTTATACCGGCTCCGAGTCTGAAGCAGACACTAAGATCACTCGCAACCTCATGCTAGGTGACTTCAACGCGGCATTGGATGTATGTCTAAAGGAAAACCGATTGTCGGATGCTTTCATGATTGCCATTTGCGGTGGAGAGAAGTGCATCGCCAAGGCACAGGCTGCATACTTCAAAAGGCAATCTGACGCACCAAACTACCTACGACTTCTTGCGTCGGTCGTCGGAAAGAACTTGTGGGACTTTGTATACAATGCTGATCTGAAAGACTGGAAGGAAGTCATGGCAACAATCTGCACATTTGCCGATCAAGCCGATTTCCCCGACCTTTGCGAGGCTCTCGGAGATCGTCTCGAAGAAGCCATCTCTGAAGAGTCAGGATCGTACCGAAAAGATGCGTCTTTCTGCTACTTGGCTGGTTCCAAGCTTGAGAAGGTCGTCGTCAACTGGGCCCAGGAGCTTCAAGAGAGCGAGAAGGCGGGCATTGAGCAAACTGATGGTGACAACAGTTTCTCAATCCACGCGCGATCACTCCAGGAGTTCATCGAGAAGGTCACAGTGTTCCGAAAGGTCACCGACTTCAAGGACACCGAACAGCAAAAAGAGGACGACTGGAAGCTCGAGCCTTTGTACGCAAAGTACGTCGAGTATGCTGACATTGCTTCTGCCCACGGCCAGCTCGCTATTGCAGAGAAGTATCTAGATCTTCTGCCTCAAAAGTACCCAGCAGCAGATGTAGCGAGGAACCGGGTCAAGCAAGCCACCAGAAAGGTTGCAGCCCAGCCAGCGACAGCCCACAAGCAGGCCCAGTCTACTAGCACTGGTCGTCGTCAAGTCGTAGTCCCTTCATATGGTCAACCTGCACAAGCAACACCAGCACCGCCCCAGCAGACCCCGTACGCTCCAGTCAACCCTATGCAAACGCAGCCAAGGGCGTCGCCTTATGCTCCAGTCAACCCTCTCTCGTCACAAGCTCAGGCCACTGCACCATCAACATTCACACCAGCAGCAGCGTCCGGCAATGCGTACACGCCAGCCGGCTACCAGCCATCTCAACCTCAGGGCTATGGTGGTTACGGTCAGGCTACCCAACAACCAATTGCACCTCCGCCACGCAATTTCTCCAACTCTCCATCTATTGTGCCAGCAGCCAACAGGGGTAGCATTCCCGCCTGGAATGACACACCAGACTTTGGCCCCCCTAAGCCAGCTTCGCGTCGTGGTACTCCCATGAACACTGTTGCTTCTCCGTTCCCGAACCAGCAGCAGCCCCTCGCAGGTCCGCCTCAAGGCCCGTTCTCGCCAGGAGCACGATCAACACCTCCACCTCCTCCAAAGGGCCCGCCTCAAGGCCCTCCTCGTATGACTTCTCCACCAGCTGGACCTCCAACTGGCGCCCCAAACCCCTACGCACCAACTCCGGCAACAAACAACTACGCTGCACCACCCGCAGGCTTTGCACCCCCACAACAAGCGCCACTACAACGTGGAGCGTCGCCATACCAACCCCCAACTGCTGCCGCTCCGCCATCGAATCGCTATGCTCCTGCTCCAGGTCAGCAACCATCAGCCCCATCTGGGCCTATGGGTGCAATGCCACCACCGCGTAATATTGCGCCTCCTCCAGGCCAATTTACACCCGCTGGCTCACCTTACGCACCATCGCCGGCGCAACAAATGCCACCGGCTGCCGCAGCACCGCCACCACCACCAAGGGGGCCACCGCAAGGACCTCCACGGGCAGGACCTCCTCCCGGGGGCCCTCAAGGCGGACCACCAAGACCAGATTCTCGACCCGGTACTGGTCAATCACAAGCGGCTCCGCCGGCAGCAGCCAAGTATCGTAAGTGATCCATCAGGTATCGTGTGGATTGGCCGGAACTAACTTACATACAGCTCCTGGTGACCGATCGCACATTCCCGACGCATCTCGTCCCATCTACGAGATCCTTGATGCCGACCTACAACGGGTCAAGGCAAGGGCACCAGCACAGTACAAGCAGCACGTTGCAGATACCGAGAAGCGCCTCAACATCCTGTTTGACCACCTTAACAACGAGGATCTGCTCAAGCCCGATACTATCCAGAGCATGAACGAACTCGCGGCTAACATCCAGGCCAAGCAGTATGATGCTGCGGTCGCAATCTTTTCGGATTTGATGACCAATAAGACGGATGAGGGTAGTAACTGGATGGTAAGTCTTACTTGAAAAGCGTGTGAGACGAATGGAAGGCTAATGTTTGATGCAGGTTGGTGTCAAGCGCTTGATTCAGTTTAGCAAGTCGACTGCTTAGAAAGTGAGTGCTGCTGCGACTAAGAACGTACTGGCCAGTGTTCCCGAAGATTACGTTGTGGTGTACAAGTAGAGAGTTTGAAGGTGGTAAACAAAAAGGCCGCGTTCAAGGCAGGATTCTTGCCCCCGTGTTTAGCGTTTTTGCATGTCATTAGAGAAAATGAGAGATATGCTGAATGATTGATGGATCGATTCGACTAACGAGCACTTTTTTCGTTGTGTATTGCACGCGGATGTCTCCTGTGTGGTAAGGTGCGCTTTCTATCTTGACGTGACATAACATATTCATCTAGGTTTCCCTTGCGCATGGCCATATTGTGAGGAATGTTGCACTTTCTTCACTGGATGTCATGCGCGGATGCCTCCGAATGAGTGATGTACCTTCTATACCCACATCCAGCCTCTACTTTCATCTAGGTCGCCCTTGTCATATCTTGTCTGCGCTGTGTGCATACAGTCGCAAACACGCGATACCATTTGCTATTCTGAAAGATCATACATTAAGAATAGAAAGGGCACCGTACTATAGTTTTTTTTAGAGGAGATGAACAGAAAACTAAAGCTACAAGTACATAGCATATATAGTCATCACAAGATTTCAACACTCCACAACACGGGCTAAACACGTACTCGAAGAAAACGTTATCCGCGAAGTATCAGAGCACGAGCCACTAGGCGAGGAAACGGTGGCGGCGTAGAGTGAAGGAACTTGAGCATTTCAGAGAGAGAAGGCAGAGCTGGATAGTGTGTGTTCGACTTGGTTACTCAAGTTAACAACAATCCGCTTGTTTTGGCGGCACGAATAAAAGCGAACAACGCGACTATCGCCTCGTTCGCTCTCTTCATCCACAGAGATCTTTGGGTGTGTACTGTTCTTGTTGGAGGGTCTTCATAGCGAACTGCGGGCTGCACTCGGAAAGGGCTTAAGCTTTTCCCTCCGAGCATTCGATACCTTTCTCCGCTGATGATGACATCAAGCCGCCAGCAATGTGTCACCATACTACCCCAGACAAACCGAAGTCTCACGCGCCAGAACAGATGGAAAATCTTAGACGACAAACGCCTGGGTTAAAGCCGTAAGGTGGATCGCTCAAATTCTCACCCGAAAAGATTGGGGGTTTTTTTTTCTGGCTCGACTCCGCGACATGTGGTTCAAATGGTTTGGAGAACACTTTGACCGCCCTCTTCAGCCTAATGTAGGCCATGTTTGCTCCATGTACGTTCATATCGGTTCCATCGTGAAGTCAACGGTGCCACCGCCAACCGATGGTGCAGTGACGATGCGCAACTGGTACGAGCTGAAGCTTACCGTTCGTGGCAGCAGAAACGGACAGGATCTATCCGTCAACTACGGTGATGTACTTGGCTCCCTGTAGTCTGGCGAGTATGTCCGTCTGCGTCGTCAAAGGATACGCATCCTTGATAGCACAGAAGTTGGTTTCTCGCATGTCTGACACGGGTCGTCCTTTCCATTCGATCGCACCTAAGCTTACAGTTTGCCTTCTTTCGTGTACACCTTTTTCCAGACTACGAAAACAGGGACGGGGAGAGGCGCAGGCAGGCGCAGGCAGGCGCATACAGTCATTGAGCCGAGACCAAGTACAACAAATGCAACTCAAACACCCTCCATCAATCCGGCAGTTGAAAAGCTTTCAAAGCCGCACCTTCTGCGGTGTGTGCGCACAATCTATCCAAAGTAGTGGATCTATCTGAGTTGGACATCTCTTCTTCCTTGGAGGTTACTTGGACTTTGGGGTATATACTGCGCGAAGAACGCAAACAGGCCAGAGGTTTCTCCGCGAATCGATCGCGTGTTGTAAGAAGGTACGAGATAAGCAGACTCGGATATAACATTCGCGCTACTGTCTAGCCAATTTGAACGTATCTAGGATTCAAAGATTGCTGAATGCCATCAATTTGACCTTTTGACAGGTTTATCGTCTGTGTTTCAGAGCCAACGTGAGAGAGACTGCGCGTGGATGGTCAGGCATTGCAATGAGAAATGAATGTGGATGTCTCGATGACGTCGCTACCTAGATCATGAGATGCTCAGCTCAGCAGTGGGCCTTGTGCTTCAGGGGATCTTTGCACAAATAACAATTGTGCATATGCACCGTCCTAACCTGCTGTCTGAGCTATAAAACGACCAAGCACGATTGTTAAGCTAAGCCACGTCTAGACTGTCACAAGATATGGTGAATACCTCTTTCCACAAGCTCATGCACAAATGCGGTTGTGTTCGTGATGGCTTTGTAGATGCGGAAGACGGAACATGGTTCAAGATCGGGCGGGTTCGCTAATCGTAGCCGATCGGGTCAAAGCCGATCTCAAGCAACACCAGGCGTCATAACATCAAACTTCAATGTAATGACGTAGGCGCGAGCTCGACGCGTTAGCCACCCAATATGGCCTTGGAGGCACGGATCGCAAGTTTCAGCCTCCTCCTTTCAATAATCTTGCTGTTCTTGTACGGCGCCATCACCTAAGTATTGAACGCATGTTACGTTCCCTTCACTGCATCCGCTCTCGTGTCGCATTCCAAACACCACTCCGAGCGACAGCATCTGTACAGACATCTCGTATCATATCTCTTCTTCCGAATATGCCCCCCAAGCGAAAAAGGTCTGCTGCCGCAGTAGCAGCGGTTGCTACAACAGAAGAGACGCCTCTTGTGGATCGATCACAGATGCGCCGAACAGATGTGCCTTTGCCTACAAACGTCGCGAAGCCACCACGCCGCCAAACGACGCGTGGGGGAAAGACTGAAAAGACGGATCCTAATCTCAACCCTGACATTGTCGATGGTGTCACCGCATTACGGGCATCGCCTGACGCAGAAGAAGGCGCGGATGCTGTTCTGGAATCTGCCGTGAGCAACGGTATTGCGACTGAGGCCGATACTGCACCAGATGCAACTGCGAAAGACAATGCGCTCCCACCACCTGCCACAAACGGCGATGCGCCCGTAGCAAATGGCGCCCCTGCAGCGAACGCTGCAAAGAACAAGCGAAAGAAGGTCGGCGGGCAGCAAATCAAAGTGGAAGAGGATGACACCAACACAAGCGCCGTAAATGGTGTCGCTGCAAAGACCACCGCTCCTGCAGCCAGTGCTGGGATGTCTGGCGATCCCGACGACGTCGATAACCTAGAGGCTGAAGACGAGGACGAGGCAGAGGTCAAGGAAGCCCTGTCGAGACCCCCACCGGTCAATTCTGAATACCTTCCTCTTCCATGGAAAGGACGGCTTGGCTACGTATGCGTCCTGCAGGTACTTTTTAATCTAAACTAACGAGCGTGCATACAGGCCTGTCTCAATACGTACCTCCGTAGTGCTACCCCTCCCGTCTTCAGCTCGAGAACCTGTCGTATTGCGAGCATCATCGAACATCGCCATCCCCTGAAGGACCCCTCACAGCCCGAACATGCCACTAAAAATCGCCCCGATAAGGAACAACCAGCGGATGTCGCGCGAGGAATGAAATATGTGGAAGAGATAGGCCTTGCTAATGCGCGGGATATTATCAAAATGGTGCGCTGGAACGACAAGTACGGCATCAAGTTCATGCGCCTGAGTAGCGAGATGTTTCCATTTGCAAGCCATGACGAGTACGGCTACAAGCTTGAGCCTTTTGCTGGCGAAACATTGCGTGAAGTAGGCAAAGTGATCGGCGAGCTGGGTCATCGAGTGACTACCCATCCAGGACAATTCACTCAGCTGGGATCGCCGCGAAAGCAGGTCATCGACAACGCAATGCGCGATCTCGAGTACCATGACGAGATGCTTTCTCTGTTAAAGCTTCCAGAGCAGCAGAATCGCGATGCTGTCATGATTCTACATCTCGGTGGTGCATATGGCGACAAGCCGGCGGCCATTGAAAGGTTCAAGGAGAATTATGCAAAGCTTCCTCAGAGCGTCAAGAATCGTCTGGTGCTTGAGAACGACGATGTTGTGTGGTCGGTACACGAGCTGTTGCCTCTATGTGAGGAGCTCAACATCCCATTCGTGCTCGACTACCACCACCACAACATCATATTCGATGCAGATCAAATCCGTGAAGGTACCAAAGACATCATGGAACTCTACCCACGGATTCTCGCGACGTGGGAAAGAAAGGGAATCACACCTAAGATGCATTACTCTGAACCGACACCTGCTGCGATCACTAAGACAACGCGGAGAAAGCATTCACCTCGCGTCATGACATTCCCTCCCTGCCCTGATACCATGGACTTGATGATCGAGGCAAAGGACAAGGAGCAGGCCGTATTTGAGCTTATGCGGACTTTCAAGCTTCCAGGCTTTCATACTTTCAACGACATTCTGCCACATACACGTCAAGATGAGAACAAGCCGTGGAAGCCCAAGCCTAAGAAAGCTGTAAAGAAGAGTAAGAAGAAGAAGAGTGACGAATTGGACGAGCTGGACGCGAAGCTAGAAGAGGAAGAGCCAGAGGACGTGCCCCCGCCTATCGTACCTGACGAGGAAGTGGGCATGGGAGGGCCAGAGGGGAGAGTGTACTGGCCTCCGGGTATGGAGGACTGGCTCAGACCCCCAAAACGCATCATCAAGAAGAAAGAAGACGGCGCTGCTACGCCAGCGAAGAAGAAGCGCAAGACCGCCGCTGACGCGGCGTCTGTAGCAAGTGAAGGTGCTCCACTTGAGGATGTCAAGACGCCCATCAAGACACCAGCCAAGAAGGCGGCACCGGCTAAGCGAGGAGCAGCAAGTTCGACTAAGAAGAAGGCAGCAGTTAAGTCCGTGCCAACACCTTCGGCTTCCGATGAAGAGGAAGATCAGCTTAGCTCACCCCCGCTTAGCGATGTAGGGAGCGAGGACGAGGCTCCTGTTGTGCAGAAGCGAAATGCACGGCCTGCTGCGACACGGAAGAAGTCTGGAAGGGCTACGGCCCAGGTTAGCTACAAGGAAGAAGCGGACGAGATGAGCATGTAGACAAGTGCAATCCCACGGTCATCGGTAGCCATGGTGCAGCTAGTCGTAATATCAATCCCAATGTAAACGAATACGTGATTTCGGTCCTTTGGGCATGAAAATAGCGACATTGAAAGCACGATTCACATCATCTCGGTTGTAGGAGAGGTTGAGTAAAGACAAAACAATGCTCCGAGCCTGCTAGATCCTTCCCTTCCCGCTTCAGGCCGTTATCCCGTCCCATTCCTTCCCGGCCTTGTCCCTTCCGTCTTTTTACTGAAACTCGTATTCAACGTCTTCTCAGAGTTCATGCATTCTCCACATTGACGTAGCTCACAATTTGCTGTTCGCGCTTACCTATCTATTCACCTTCCCAGTCCAGCTGTGTGGCCGAAACGCTGTATGAACATGCGTTCGTTGGGGGTTAAGGACGCATAAACGTGCACTATGTGGACCTTTAGATTCGCTAGGCCTAGGGGGGGAGAAAAGAGATGGGTTGGAAAACAAACGAAAGCAAGGTGGAACAAATTGGGCCAGCCACCTCCATGCTCGTACTAACCCCCCCTTCACCATAACATCTCTACCCCTCCCCCTCCCCCAATACATGGCGTTAAACAACGTAGATAGATACGTTGTTGCACCGGCATAAGACTTCCAGAACTTTATCGAAGCACGGCCCGTTACTTTGCCGCACTAACCGACGGATGCCGAGGCATTCCGCACATCTTCTTAGCACCTTCCATTGCATGTCCCACGGCCGGAAGGGGGATAGAGCTCAACCTTGTGTAAGCGTGTAAGATGTGACTGCCTTGTTGTCAGAATAGTAGTGCGGGAGAGGTGTCGTGAGGGTGTGGTTGGGAAAGCAGGCACAATCACATTGCATGTATGCATCGATAGCTTAATCGATAGCTTCACATGCATGGTGTCATGCAGGTCAGCGTTACTGTGAGAGTGTCGACTGGTTCTAGCTGGCTTAGCTGGCCGTGGGGAGATGCAGATGCAGGACCACGTCGGAGGACATGGGCAGGAAAGGGGTAAGAGGGTGTGAGTTAGTGCGAACATCAGAAGATAGCCTGGAAAGTTACTTTGAGGGGTATGGTCGTGGTGGGGGGAGGATCTGGTGTCTTCAGTTTCAGGTACGCGTCGCGTAATGGAGAGTGTGTGGGTTGTGTATTCCTGCGCTGTAGCGAAGAGGCATGATTTACCAAGACCGTTATCTGTGGATGTTTTGTAGGAGTCGACATGTTCGTATTCTTGATTGCATATGTGTCCATCTCCTCTTTGCTCCACTGCGATAAAGTGTATTGCACGATCTTTCGCAGGTAAGTGATCCCACCAATCGCTGTTCGTATGTGTGTGTCGTCGATGGCCCGACTGTTCCCTTGCACGTCCTTCTGATTTCTCAACACCAAGAACTGCGATCTAGAATACTCTCTCTAGTGTCTGTCGATCAACCATTGTCGACCATGACTCGATTCTAGGCCGTGTCTATCGCTTCTCTTTCTCTCTTGCCTGCTGCCAATCAACCCCAGTCACCTTGTAGCTATCCGCAATCGGTTAACTTCCCGCGGCTACATATCTGCAGGTCTATCTGCACAGCCTTGCACAGATAGAGGTTCATGCCCGTACCATGTCCATGGACTCTTGAATCGAACATTCGGTGCACTAGTGCATGTATTTTTGCATTGACGATGCGCGTTATGGTAACGAGGGGCTGGTAGCCTATCCCAAGTCGTGGCTGAGAACAGAGCAGGGAAGTTGGTTATACTGTTCGGCTGCTATGCGGAATAGCATTGCGCCGGTGGTCCGTCCTCAGACCGTACCGCCATGGCTGGAATTGAGGACCAGGTGGAGACTCTTTTCTGTACGTTTGGTCAGCGGTAGGCGGTGTGGCGTGCTTGTTTGTTCAACTGCAGCTCAGCGAATGAGGTTTTTGGCGGTTAAGGCGCTGCAAGAAGATTGTTTCCCGAGGAAGAATCTATGAACGGTTCATGTCAGTAGATCATAGCCTGTGTTGAATAACCGAGCCGTCTCGCGTCGAGCTCTGATCTTCGGCACTACACAATGCGCGATTCCCAAA